CTTTTCAGTTGGGTCAAGTTTCTAAACTTTCTAAATCTCCATTCTCTGGCTAATGAAAAGAAAATAGGATTCCCCCGAGTCTCCTATCCCTACTCCAGGACTTCTGTGAGGATTAAATGAGATGAGGCACGGGAAAATGCTTCACAGACATTTGGTTACAGTGTAAAATGTTTGCACCTGGCTATAAAGCAAGTCTTGTTTCTGGGCTGAAGAAACTCCAAGGAGGCTAGTCACTAGGGAGAGGAAGCCGGGTATTGTTATGTGACATCATTGCTCGGCGCCCACAGCCACCGTTTCAGGATTGGCTGGGCTGTGGGGTGCATTTTGCACCATAGGGTCTCAGCAGCTTAAGCTGCAATTTGGTGGGTCGTTCTGGGGTGGTGGCGGGGCCTGTGTTCCACTTGGGGGAAGCCAAGTGTTGCTTTGTGGGTGCCAGGTCCACGGTGCCGTTTATTGTTAAATGGCCTGTCGCTAGGGAGAGGAGGCTGGGCATTGCTATGTGACTTCATTACCCAGCACCCACAGACACCGTTTCCAGGCTGGGCTGGGCTGTGGGCCACATTTCACGCCATGGCAGTGTCAGCTGCGATTTGGTGGGCTGTTGCTCCAGGGTGGTGGTGGGGCCTGTGTCCCATTTGGGGGAAGCTGAGTGTTGCTTTGTTGGCGCCAAGTCCATGCTGCCATTTCTCTATAAATGGCGAGTGCCCGTCACTGCAGCTCCTGCATTGAGTGTCTGCCCCGTAGTTGTCAGTGCGTGTCATAGTGACCACTCAATGGGTGGAGGGACACTTAGCATATTGGCCTTTTATATATATAGATGCCACTTATATGAAATAACTGAAATAGGCAAATTCATAAAGACGGAAGTAATTAGAGGTTTCCAAGGGCTGGAGGAAGGGAGGAATGGGGAATTATTCCTCAGTGGTTACAGAGTCTCTGTTTGGAGTGATGAAATGTTTTGGAAAAATACTGGTGGTAGTTGTACAGCATTATGAATGTAAATGAATGAATGAATTGTACTTTTAAAAATTGTACTTTTATTATATATATATATATATATATATATATATATATATATATATATTACTACAATAAAAGAGTTAAAATATTATATACCCTTTTAGTAACTATTTTGATACATCTCCCTTGCTTACATTAGCATTAACCAGAAAAATTAACACAAAGGCAGGAATAAAAATCATAAAAGATTATAAGTAGAAGTTCAAAAAACCAAACCAAGTTTAAAGTTAAACACCCATAACCAATGTTTCTGCTATGCTAACAACAACCACTATCGCATCCATGGTAAACAAACAGGGTGCTAGACTAGGCACCAAGAAGACAAAAACCAAATGAGAAAACAAAATGTCATATTACCTCAACAAGCTGGAAAATAGAGTTATTAGCCCAATACAGACATTGGAGACAGAGCCAGACATAATGGAGAGAAAAAGGTTTCAGTGCCACAGAACATAAAGGCATGCAAGATCACCTTCTGCTGACACACAGGCGTGAACTGATGCAATTCCCTAGGAAACAGCATCTAACTCATATAGATATCCCTCTTTCCTCACTGACTCAATAAAAAGACACTGCCAAGCTACAGCAAAGGCTAATGAAGGAAAGGATGGTGTCTAAAAATTATTCCTGAAGGATCTCTTACACTTACTACTCCTCAACAGACTTATCAGAGTAGTTGCCAAATCAACTAGCCATTCAAAGAGTATAACTTCTATAAAAGACATCCAACTTGACAACACAGCACATGAAGCAGAACACTGGAAAAGCCAGCTCAAGATTTAAAATAAACCCAGTAAATAATAATGAGACAGGGAAAATATTATCAATAAAAAAACAAGAACAAAAGATAACCAAAGGAAAATAATAGATATTAAAAATGTAACAGTTGACATAACAAACCCAATGTAAGAGATCAAAGTAGGATACAGCTGATGAATGATCAGAGAGCTGAAAAGTCAAATGAGGAATTCTCCCAAAGAAATACAGAAAAGACAAAGAGATGAAAAACGTAAAAACAAAAAGCTAAGAGATGCGAAGGAATAGAAATGGCAATCTCTAAATAATGAGAGTCCCAGAAAAGAGAAAAATTAAAATGGAGAAGAGTAAACATATGAAGAAATAATTGGTGTCAGTTTCCAGAACTAAAAAATGTAGGGAAAAATTTAAAAAGCAATCAATAATAACACAGAACTAAAATTATATACAATACCAACATGATCTGGGCAGAAGTGGGGAAGTTAAAATCTAATGAGAGACAAAAAGAATGTACAAGAATATTATTAGAGTGCACTAAAATGATTGTCTTGTTAGATGAAGACACAAATGTTGATAATCTTAAGAAATCAGTATGGATATTAATATGAGTATAGTTCGTGAGTTAAGGGCATCTGTCATAGGAATAAAAATAGAATGTATAACTTGCAAAATCAGCAGAACAAAATTTGATCTATCCCATAAAAAGAAGAAAACAGAAACAAAAAAGAGTAGTATAAATTTTAAAATATAAAATAATAACTATAGTTGCAAATGAGGGGAGAGGGTGGGTGGGAGGAAGGTAATCAACCAAGGACCTTGTATGCATATATGCATGGCCCATGGACACAGACAATAGGGCACTGAGATCCTAAGGTAGGGGAAGAGGGGAGGGGACAGGCTGGAGGAAAATGGGGGGAGGAGAAATATGTAATACTTTCAACAATAAAGAATTATTTTTAAAAATTAAATATACAAATAAAATAAAATAAAAAAGCAGAAATTTTCTAATTAAAACAAGAATTACCATATGTGTAAGTGGGTTAAATAAGCTTATCCTATATAATAAAAGCCTAATATGCTAAGTGTCCAGTCATCCAGTGACCGGTCAACTGTTCAACCATCAAAGTGTAATATGCTAACGATATGCTAAGGCCGCTCATCCGCTCGTTATGACATGCACTGTCCACCAGGGGGTAGACAGTCAACTGGTCGAACAGTCGCTATGATGTGCACTGACCACGAGGGGGCAGACGCTCCGACCAGTAGGTTAGCTTGCTGCTGGGATCTGGCTGATCAGGACTAAGCGAGATGGGCCAGACATGCCCTGGAGCCCTCCTACGGTCCTTTCCACAATCCCTCTCCAGCTGGCCAACCTCCCGTATCCCTCTCCCGACGGCCCCAATCGGGACTGGGCAAGATGGGGCCAAACACACTCTAGAGCCCTCCTGTAGTCCCTCCCCGGCCCCAGTCATGCACTGGTGGGGTCCCTCAGCCTGGCCTGCACCCTCTTATAATCCGGGACCCCTCAGGGTATGTCGGAGAGCTAGTTTTGGCCCAATCCCGCAGGCCACTTGCTGGCGAGCACTGCTGTGGCAACACGAGTCTCTCCCAATCAGGACTGATTAGGCACAAGCCCAGGGCAGGCGCAGTGGGGCCGGGATAAGTAGGAATGGCAGGTAGGAGCTGCAGGCAGCATTGGACTGCAGGTTTCATTCCAATCCTCGCAGGCTACCCCGAGGGACCCCACCCATGCACGAATTCATGCACCAGGCCTCTAGTTAAAAGATATTGACTATCAGATTATATTAAAAAAAAAAACAAGTGCAAATTATAGTTAAGTGCTAGCTGTACAATATACTTAAAACCAAAACTCACAAAAGGTTTAAAATAAAATGATAGGGCCCCAGCTGGTTTGGCTCAGTGGATAGAGCGTCGGCCTGTGGACTGATTCTATTCAAGGGCACATGCCTGGGTTGTGGACTCGATCCCCAATACGGAGCGAGCAGGAGGCAGCTGATCAATGATTCTTTCTTATCATTGATGTTTCTATCTCTTTCTCCCTCTCCCTTCCTCTCTGAAATCAATAAAAATACATTTAAAAAATAATTAATTAATTAATTAGTTAAATGATGGGAAAACACACCAGGCAGGTATAAGCCTAAAGAAAGCTGAAGTAGCAATTTTAGTTATGGCAATATTTAATGTAAATATAAAGAGAGATAGACAGCGATAGAGACAGAGAAACACAGAGAGCATGAGCACCAGATAAAAGTATGTGTGTTCGCGTGTGTGTGCGCATGCGCGCACACCCGCGCACATATAGGGATGAAAAAATAAAAATATTTAAGATATTTATAAAGTTATAAAATGATAGCTATTCTATATTCAGTTAAATCAATTGCAAGATGCTATATACTTTTTAGAATAATGCAAATTTTAGAAAAGGCAAGAGAATAATATGACCAATGGGCTATAAATGAGTTGTGTTTGTTTTTTAAAGGATTGAAAAAAATTAGCTGTATAGGCCGAAAAAAAGTATAATTTTCCTCAAGAGTATTAATTTTACAATAAGATGACCAAATTAGTATAAGCATATATATCTTTCTTCCTGCCATTGTTAATCACTGTACATAATCAATTAACAGGCCTAAGTTATACAATCTAGATTTCAACTGGCACTGGTACACAAGGATAAATCAAGAACTTACAAATAAAACTGAAAGGACTAATAAATAGGGGATTCGTTTGTGTAACACTAGACATTCACATACTTCTTGCTTTGTAAATTTTCTGAAGTTTCACATGATTTCACTCCCTCAATACACTGCACATTTCTGACTCAATGTGGACTGTAATTGTTTCTAGCCATATGTGTAGCCAAATAGGAGGTATTTCAAAACTATCAAAAGCTCTCTGGTCCGATGTCACCCAGAATTGGGCAAGTCAATTTCCCAGTACTGCCTCGAGAGTCTTAAATTAAAATATAGTATGAAAATGAGGGAAAACTGCAGGTGGCATTTCTCGTGTAAGACAGCAACAACAATGAAACACATAAGTCTCTTCCTAACATAAAGACTGAAATGCAGATCCTAGTTTATTTGGAAGCTTTCCTGGGTATTAACTTCACCTGAAGAGGAACTAATGAAATTTCTTTTAGATATCTGAAGTCCTGCAATAGTTTCTCTTTCACGTGTATTTTTGGAATGAGACACAGCTAAACTCACATTTTCCATGGTAATATCATTTGAGGCGTTCATCAGGTACACACTTTTGTCAACAGCTAAAATCCCCACTAGCGAGTGGGGCTGTGTCACAGCGACCCTCAGAGAGACGTTCTCAGATGGCTCAGCATGAGGTTTACTCCAAAATAGGTTTACCTAAGAAAGGGGAGAAAACTGGATTGATTTCACTGGTTAAAGCATTACTTACCAATAACAGAGCAACACTTCAAAATCTAGCAAAAATGCCACAGTTGCCTTGGCTCAGAGATCATTCTGAAACCATACATAAGCCTTCTCTAGGAAAAGGAATTTTAAAAAGTAAAAAACTTTACTGCCACAGTGTTTGCAAGTGATGGAACGTCTCACAGTGACATAAATCTAAATTACCCTTCACTCTCTATCTTTCCTCTTCCCTTCCTCCATCCCTCACAACTCAGCTCCCAGCCAGTACTGGAGAGAAAACAGCAGTACTACACATGTAGTAACTAAATATGAAGAGATTTAAGCATAGTTCTAGAAATGAATATAAATTTCTAACCAGTTTGGTTTAGTGATACTTTTCCAAAGAACTATCACATTTCTCAGACTTCACAAATGTAAAGTTTTCTTTTAAACATCATTACCTGAAACCTTACCTTATTTTCAAAATCAACCTGAATATGAATTTTTAGAACATCATTTATAATTTCCCCATCATCTTCAATATAATACACCATGACACGGGCTTTTGGAGCCCAAGAATTTTCTGGTATTAAAGAGAAGGTTGTTGAATTTTGCTTGCCCACAGCCATCAACTGTCCCCTGGATATTACCTGAAAAACATAGTAGTTGAGTTTCATTTTATGTTAAAGCTAGTGAGAATTTCAACCACAGCTACATTTATCATGATTTTAACTACAGACACAAATTTTTTTACTTAAACCAACTTCAAAGTCGATTTGAATGCCAGAAAGCCGCCCTGACCAACACAGAGAGTATATGTAGGTTGGGAAATAGGAAAGGATAAGACAGAGCAACACTGACTGAGGCAACAGTAGTAGTTTCACCAAGACTCTATTTTTTGCATTATTTACAATAGCCAAGATCTGGAAGTTGCCATGCTCACTGATAGACAATGGATAAAGAGGATGTAGTGGATATATACAATGGATATTAGCCAAAAAATAATGAAATCTTGCCATCTACGACAACATGGATGGTCTTAGAGGGCATTATGCTAAGTGAAATAAGTCAGACAGAGAAAGAAAAACACCACATGATTTCATATACATGTGGAATCTAAAGAGCAAAACAAATAAACAAAACAAAAAGAAACAAACTCATAGATACAGAGAACAAACTGATGATTGCCAGATAGAAGGAGGATGGGGGATGGGCAAAAAGATGAAAGGGGTTAAGAAGTACAAACTGCCAGGTATAAAAATAGTCATGGGGCTATAAAGTGCAGCATAGAAAATATAGTCAATAATATTGTAATAACTAGGTATGGTGTCAGATGGGTGCTAGCCTTATCAGGGTGATCACTTCATAAGGCATATAGATGTCTAATCACTCTTTGTACACTTGAAACTAATATAATAGTATATGCCAACTATAATTTAAAATAAATAAATAATTTTTAAGAAATTTTTTAAAAGTCTATTTTTGAATGGAAGGAATACAGAGCGTCTTTGGGAGACCTGGATTAGCAAAACTACAAGGCTAAGGGTAACAATTTTACTTTCTTTTTTGTTTTTCTTATATTTTATAATTTTCTGCAATGAAGATATGGGGCATATCTAATATAAATTTAAATTTTAAAAGTTAAATTTTAAATGTAATGCAACATTTCATTACCCATCTTAAATTGGAAATGCAAATATAGGCAAGGAAAGAAGACAGGTTATATTGTGATTACAGTATAAAAAAGACAGGCTAAAAAGTGTGAGGCTGAATTTTAAAAATAAGTAAGTTTAGCCTGGCCATTGTGAATCAGTGGTTGAGCATCAACCTATGAACTAGAAGGTCACGGTTTGATTCCCAGTCAGGGCACATGCCTGAGTTGTGGACTCAATCCCCAGTTTGGGGTGTACAGGAGGCAGCTGATCAATGATTTTCTCTCATCGTTGATGTTTCTATCTCTCTCTCCCCCTCTTCCTTCCTCTCTGAAATTATTAAAAATATATTTTTTAAGTAGTATGTTTAGTCTAGACATAAGGTAGACACCATTTAAGATGATTCCATAATAGATCATAAATTTAGATTCTATAACAGATTACCATGTAGTTGAACTCCTTAAATTGCTTGTTGCCTCTAACCACCAACTCAAAAGGTGATCCCACCTAGAAAAAAACATCTTAATTAATATGTACATATTAATAGCATAAGAGTATATTACAATTATCAAGTGATTGTAAGCATTACCTTTATATTTTCATCTCTTGTTTTTAGCTGGATGTATGTTTTACTAGGAGACTTAAATACACCATAAGCTGCCATGCTATTCATACTTTTACGAAAAAAGGCCTATAACAAAAGAAAAGGGAGCTATAAAATTTTATTTTTAGCAGCACCTTGAGAAAAGATTTACCCTGATGCACAATTACTGAAAAGCAAATACACTTTTACTTTTTTTTTATGTAGGAAAAATACATCCCCCAGACACTAGATCTTTATCATTTCATAGCGTATACTATAAACAAAGTGATAGCTGTAAAACACAGAAGAGTGTCTTCATCATCATGATCTAAGAGGAATAAAAGCATAGTCCTAACTTATTTCAGAAACAAAGGTATTATATTATTGGGAAACATTGTGAGAAGGAAAAATAATATGAAAAAGGATTCTTTTCCTTTTCTCCACAACACAGAGCTCATTTACAAGCAAGAAATTATATTTGGCTCCTGCCAAAACACAATTTCAAGTGATTGAGAATCAACCTAGACTTGGAGTTTGGGGAGCTTCTCCATCATATTTTCAGTTTGCTATATTTTACCGTGCTTCAAAATGAATGAATGAGGAAGCATTCAGTATAACCTTGAGAGACTGTCATTATATTACTTTTAATACTTTCCCCCATTTTTAGAAATAGAAACATGTCCACTTCCTGTGCACTTTGACCTCCAGCAGATTGAATGCCTACCACAAGGTTACAATTTTAATGATGTTACTGCAGTACCATAATGATGGAAAACAGATGGTACCTTTAATTGTAGCTGAGTGGAATTGTCCAGGATTGGGAATTCAATCTTTAAGATTCCATTCTGGGGGACAGAATAGTTTAGGACCTGGAAAGCTTCTATTTCCTGATTTCTACTATTCCATCCTCTCCCGTACTCTGTAGAGTTCCTCTGTATCATCATTATTGTTATATTATTCATTCTTTCTTCAAGAGTCAGTTGCCTGCCATCAGGATGTGCTACCTTCACCTAATAATCAAAACACAACATTTTAAAAACAGGTTACAAGAGAAGCCAAGGAGCCTGGCTGGCATGGCTCAGTGGTTGAGCATCGACCCATGAACCAGGAGGTAACGGTTCGATTCCTGGTCAGGGCACATGCCCAGGTTGCTGGCACAATCCCCAGTAGGGAGGGGGGGTGCAGGAGTCAGCTGGTCAATGATTCTCTCTCATCCTTGATGTTTCTATCTCTCTCTCTCCCTCTCTCTTCCTCTCTGAAATCAATAAAAATGTATTGAAAAAAGAGAAAGAGAAGTCAAGGATTTAAGTTCAGTTGAACCTAGTTTCCATCAATAAAACCAAACTATCAAAATTATTAGTGGCACCCTAACTTCCTGAAGATTCCACTGATGACTCCCTTCTTGATATTATAGCTTCTCTTGCTTTCAGTGGCTCCCCAACAACCTCCTTCACTTCACATCCCTCTTCCTCCATCCTCTCGGTGCCCTTCTTGGTTCCTTTCCCCACCCCCTAAATGTGGAGATTTGTCAAGACCAAATTATCAAAGATCTGTTCTTCTGTCTTCCTACTGCCATCCATACCTCACTCTGGAGCTCATGCTCAACACCTCTAATACCCTGCAGGATATTTCTACTTGTATAACCTTGTCATCTCAAATTCAACACATTTAAAACTGAGTAACCATCTCACCAGTCCTCTTTTTACTAACACCGCAATTCTGCCATACTTGTCTCTGAATTTTCCCTCCCTTTGCCCACCCCCCAAACCTAATGTACACCGAGTCTTATACTGTACTTCTCTCTTTCATCCTCTCCACTCCCACATCCACCACCACGAGGCTGCCATTCTCCTGCACAGGCCCTTGATCAGTCTCCCTGGAACACTGCTTCCACCATACCCCTCCCACGTTCACAGGCTCCTAGGCTCTTCACTGCCTGGAACATAAAGTTCAAACACATACGTGAGCCATTTAGGATTCTCTACAACTCCTCAAGATCTGCCTCCTGTTTTCTTCTTGACGATTCCCACACACAAGTTCTCTGCTGCAATTGCGCTGGTCAAGTTGCGTCTCAGCTCATCTTGCCCTCCATCTCCCAACCCCACACCCAGACATTTAAAATCCTTGTTTGATCTTCTAACAAATAGCTTAAAGTTTCCCCTTCCACAGAGCATCTCTTTAATGACCCTCCTCCCTATCCCAAAGCCAAGTCTTCCTCCCTGAGCTCATGTATATATTTCAGAGAGGAGGGGAGAGGGAGGGAGAGATAGAAACATCAATAATGAGAGATAACCATTGAACGGCTGCCTCCTGCATGCCCCCCACTGGGGATTGAGCCCGAAACCCGGGCATGTGCCCTGACCAGGAATCAAACCCTGGATCCTTCAGTCCACAGGCTGGCGCTCTATCACTGAGCCAAATCAGCTAGGGCTCTCATTGTTTCACTCAACTCATTTGGAAGTTACTATATTTTTTGGTTTTTGGTGTTTGGTTTTACTTACTTACCTTTTCAAACTGTCAATTATAAGGTCACTGAAATCAGAAACTATCTAAAATTTCTCTTGAGTCATTCAACAAGAAGGGACGCCTCCTTTCTTTAAAGGAAGGATCAACAAACTGCTACAGGTTGGGAGGCCAAGTCCAGTCTCTGTAAATAAAGTTTTACTGGAACAGAGCCACCCACGCCAGTTACAAAGTGACTGTGGCTGCTTTTATGCTATCAAGGCAGAGTCAAGTAGCTCTGACAGAGACCATATGGCCCACAATGCTGAAAATATCTGCTATTATCTAGCCCTTTGCAGAAAAAGGTTGTTGACACCTATTTTAAATCCCTGTATTCATGACACTTAGCCTGCCTTGAATTCTAGTTGTGTGTGTGTGTATTTTCTTGTCACCATCACAAAAACTGTGAATCCAGGGCAGGGACTGCGTCTTTCTCATCTCTCCAGCCCAATAGATCACCATGTCTTACACAGTGTCACCATTCACTCAATTAACAAGTGATAGTTCAACATTCTCTTAAAAAAGGAAAAAAATGAGTAGATTTGTTGATCATTTTTTAATGCTACCTCTTTGCTAGAACTAAAATTAGTCACTATAAAAATCTAATTAAAATTGAATAATTTTGATCAGCATCTAATTCCTTCAATGACTTTATAAAGACTTCATTGTAACAACCCAAATCTAACTTAAATGGGTTATTAAATAAATTTCAAAAAATACCTTTGTTGGAAACAACCTTTTTAGAAAAATTAGACAAAAGTCATTTGGAAACAATTCTATATACCCCATAAATCTAAATAGGAAAAGTAATCTGTCCACTTTTAGCTTAAATTTTTTGAAAAGCACTGAAAAAAATATTACTTTGCATTTTATTTCATTTAATTGAACTTAATGCTTTTAGGTCACTGATAAATATCCCAACTTACAGTGACTGTGAAGTTGAGAGATGGCTTCAAGACAGTAGCGTAATCAAAGAAATCAATGGTGTACTTCTGCTGCTTGAAAAATACATTGGAGCTTGCACTTCTTGAGATACCTGTTTTGGAAATTACATCATTTAGAAAGCCAAAGTTATAGTTCACCAACAGCTTCTAGCCACCAAACTTCTCCATCTGAGCTAATTCCCCAAGGGGTTAAGATATCAGGGCACAGAAACCTCATTCCCACATTGGCTTCTGTGGCTATTCTGTCGTCCATGGGTCCCTTCTAAGCACCATTACTGCCACCCCAACAGATTAAGGTCATTGACAGAATAGTCTTTTGCTCTTTGGGGGATTGTTGAAAGCTATTGAAATAGCAACAGAAAGATCCACATAATTAACCTTTAATTTTTTATTAAGAGAAAACTGTCTGGGGGCAGATTTCAGAAGATGTTAAGTGATTTTAAAAAAAATAAAGATGGTCAGTCAGCTAAAAAGGTATGCCTTTTCACATAGTTCTCATGCTGAAAATAAAGAACAGAAATGGAAAAAATTACGACTATCTATCACATGTGGTTGAAGTACAGACTTTTATAGGAAATAAATTTCCCCTTCATGATGAAAACATTCTGCACACTGGACTAATGAACAGTTGTGACAATTTCAGCATTTAACAGCATCTTTAGAAAGGCAGTGATGTTCCCAAACAAACATGCTAGTTATTATAATAAGAAAGATGACAGAGCAGCCCTGGCCAGCATAGCTCTCTCACATCAATCTTTCTCTCTCTCTCTCTCTCTCTCTCCTCTCTCCCCCTCCCCCTTCCTTTCCTAAAATCAATGGAAGAAATATCCCCCAATTAGTATTAACAAAACAAAACAAACAAAAAATTAAGAAAGATGACAGAGCAGCACCACATATATAACTGTACCTTCATTTCAAAGTCTACAAACCTGTAAGTGATTCTGTCACCGTGGCTAAAATTTCTACCGGCCCAGGGGATGATGGAGACATGTGTTCAGAAAGCTGATTTGAAAAATTCATTAACTCTCTCACCTCTTCGCCATTAAAAGAGAAGTTTGCAGATCCATTTATCTGTTTTGTTTAAAAAAATTCAGTTTTATTCTTCACTTTAGCAATCCAAATTTTATAAAACTAAAACTCAAATTAAGTCACATTAAACAATGTGATGGCTCAGGTTTGACTCTAATCACTATAAAAGGGTAAATTCTCATTTGTCCAATGTCAGAAAGCTCTTTTTTTCTTACACTCAGTTATTGTGTTAATTCAGTACAAATCTTATTTCTAGAAAAAGAATGCTCATAGTTATCCCCATTACTAGTTGTAAGACATCTATAAAAGTTACCTTAAATTTTTTTGTAATATTTTTCTTAATGCCCCAAAAAGATAAAGGTGAAATTGTAAGTGTTACATCTCCTTTCACAGGCTTCCCATAGGTATACCTGAAAAATAATAAATGGGTGGGGTGTTTTTTTACATTTTCAATTTGATATTATCAAACTAACACAATTAAAAATGTTACTTTCAATAGCATATACTGGCAACCCAACTTAAAAGGATTACATTAAAATATACTCTTACTACAAATTTTCAAAACTAAGCATAGCTAAGTGTCCTTAATAAATAGTGACCTTTGAAATTAAGTCTCCAAAATAGGAAGACTTTCAACTACACCACCTCAAAGCAGTTCCTAGAACACACTTTACCCAGACTCTGATCATTTCGGAGACCCCAGAGACAATACATAAGTGGAAGTGACAGTTTTCTGCTCAAAGATTTTTAAAAGATTATGAAAACCTTATCTTCCAGAAATCTGGCCTGACTGGCCCATTAACCAAATGCATGCCTAGGAGACTTCACAGTGTTTGAACATTTTAACATGTTCGTTGAAACTGCAATCACCATGGTTCATTGCTGCATGTTTCAATATTAATCAGGAGGACTTATTAGACCAAACATGCTAGGGCACCGAATGGGCTCATGGCTCTCAAAGATTTTTTTTTCAGGAAATTTTAAAATAAGAGTACATGGGGTTTTTTTTTAATCCATAGTACCAAAATTAACTTCTTGAATTAAATCTCATCTCTGCTCCTTACATTCTATGTATTAATTTTACCCCCTCTCATGATGAGAAAGTCTCTTCATGTGAAGGAAAGGCAATCTTTAGTAAATCATTGTCTTGCCAGAAAGCCTTTTTTAAATGTGTTTCCTGGGTTCCATCCATGCCTATGTGAAATGTTGAGCCAAACTTGGATGTCGATTTTCCTCTGCACTATAGAAATCAAACAGCGGCTCCTGCTCCCTGAATCCATTAGTTGAACACAGAAACTGTCTAAATTAACTCAACTCAAAAGTCAATGGTAAAATGTAGCAAATTCAAAATTAAGAATAAAATAAATCAGTCTTCAAATGATAACAGTGAAGTTAGTGGAAACCTGGGTTAGCAATTTCAGTATCAAATTCATTTATTCAAAAGAGAGTTCTCAAAACCTAACCTTGCTATATCTTATTAAAGTTTAAATAAATGCATATCTATAATATCATAATATTATATTTTAAAAGAATTATATCACATGAGTCGTAGAGGGAACTTTAAAAGCCAGACATAATTTAAAGTATTCTCAGACACAAATATTTTTTAATTTTGATTTAAATATGAAGCAGATTTAGCTTCCCAAGCCCCAAGTTGATTATAATAACTGTAAAACAAGGGTACTGGCAGTTATTGTCCTAAATAGAAGCTGGAAGCATTTGGGATACACTAATTTTTCAGAAAGTAGTAGTTTGACAACATTTTAAAAAGCAAATCAAAGATATTTTCTTTTTTTTCTTTTTTTTAAATGTATTTTATTGATTTTTTACAGAGAGGAAGGGAGAGGGATAGAAAGTTAGAAACATCGATGAGAGAGAAACATCAATCAGCTGCCTCCTGCATACTCCCCACTGGGGATGTGCCCGCAACCAAGGTACATGCCCTTGACCGGAATCGAAGATGGGACCCTTGAGTCCGCAGGCCGACGCTCTATCCACTGAGCCAAACTGGTTAGGGCAGATATTCTCTTTATAATTCTCTAGAACTGTGGTTAGTGGGAAAGAATCTATTATTTATTTTAATAAGGTGGGAATAGTGAGCAGATGTTCAAGTTATAGATTTCAAAACTAAAAAGAGATTGTTAACCTTCTTCTTTAGGCATTAACTATGCCTAGATGAGACAGATGGTTGCTAGCAAAAAAGCAACCTAAACCCGGCTGGTATGGCTGAGTGGATGGAGTGCTGTCCCATGGACCAAGAGATTCTGGGTTTGATTAATGGTCAGGGCACATGCCCAGTTTTTGGGCTCAATTACACAGTAGGGGGCATGCAGGAGGCAGCTGATCAATGTGTCTCTCTCATCAATGTTTCTATCTCTCTCCATCTCCCTTCCTCTCTATCTAAAAATCAATAAAAACGTAACCTAAATTGTTTATCATTTACTCATAGAGATGACTATAATAGCTATTATGAAACATTTTAAAATCATCTCTCTAACTTAATAACAACCATCCAAGTGGTAAGACAACAGAACTCATCTTTCACCAAAATACACCCAAAGAACAACTGGATTTCCAACCCCACTCTCTACCCTCTAATTCTGTGACAAGACCAAACCCATCACCCATACAACTCAATTTGGTTCATTCCAAATAGCAGGCTTTTGATTGGGTATGAAGCTCTTTGCTGTGCTACATAGAGCTTGGAACTGAAACCTTATGGACCATATTGTTTATCCACTTGTTCTTTCAATAGTACTTATTAGATACCTACTCCATGACTAGCACTGTACTAGGCACAAAGATGCAGTGATAAGCAAGAAATAGACCCACCTTCAAAGAGGTGGACTAGCAAACAGCAGCACTATGTGACTAGAGCTATGAGAGGTATAAAGATAGATGGTTGGGGGAAGTAGCCAAGCCTTGAAACAGCCTATTGTAAAGGCTTATTGGTCAGAAAAAGCATTTTGCATTCTTGAAAGCACAAGTAACATTTGGAAATAGAGTTTGGGAGGTTAGAGAAGGGTTTGGGTGAGATATTTCAAAGGACATAAAACTAGAAAAGAGCCCAGCTGGCATAGCTCAGAGGTTGAGTGTCAACCTATGAACCAGGAGGTCATGGTTCGATTCCCAGGCAGGGCACATGCCCGGGTTGCCATCTCGATTCCTGGTGGTGGGCATGCAGGAGGCAGCCAATCGATGATTCTCTCTCATCATTGATGTCTCTCTCTCTCTCTCTGTCTATCCCTCTCCCTCCCTCTCTGAAATCAATAAAAATATATTTTTACAACAACTAGAAAAGAACTTTGTAAGATATCCTAAAAATTTTGAACTTTGTCCTCAAGGCAATGGCCTGAAAATTTTCATGCAAAAGAGTCAAAATTGATTTGTCTTTAGCCTAAAATAGAGAAGAAGAGGGAGGGGAGGAGGAGGAGAGGGAGGAAGGGAAGGGAGACGAGGATGGGGAGTGGGGAAAGGCGAACAGCAGCAAGAACTCTGGATGATTCAGCGCAGAGAAAAGATTGAAGGAAAAAAACCGAAGTCAGAAAAAACTTTTCAGAAACTACAACAGTAACTAAGGAGAGAAAAGTGATGTTGGCCTGAATCAAAACAGTGGCAATGGAGATGGATTTGAAAGAAATTATGGAGTTAAAACAAATAGCATTGGATATTGATTAGATGTGGAGATTGAAGGAGTGGGAAGAGTGCAGTTGACTTGGGCAGCTAAACAGATAGTGGTGCAGTCCACCAAGATAGGACACAGAAAAGAATCAGATTTAGGGGAAGATGACTAGTTAAAGAATCTGTGGGATACCCAGCGAGAGAAGACATGAGGATCTGAATCTCAATACAGAAATATGGACTAGAGATATAGATTTGGGTGTCACGACTTACAAACAGTAGCAGAAGCCCTGGCCATGGAGAAGATAATTCAAATGAGTAAAGAAAGAAGACAGCCAAAGATGGAACTCTGAGAAATAAGAACTTTTCAAAGATAGGCAGAAGGGAGTTGCCTTCAAAGGGTCTCAAAGGAGTAGCCAAGAAGAAAGAAGGCGGGGGGGGGGGGGATGAAAAGAAATAGAGAGGACAACAATGTCAGATCTACAAAGCGGGGAAAGGTAAAAGGAGTTTCAGTGGCATGACTCAGGGTGAAAGGCAGATTGTAGGGGGCTGAAGAATGACTGGAATGTAAAGAAGTGACAAATGCAACTCTAAGTAGGCTGAGAAGATAGGGCGGTATTGGGAAGGAGACAGGAGATTCAAGGGAAGGTTTGTTTCTTTTAATGATAGATATGTTTAAACACATAGTGAAGAAGCCACTAAAGGACAAAATAGAAGAAATCAAGGCACAGGTAAGAGAAGAATCTCCTCTGAAGGGAGAACAGATGTGGCTTTCATTATGACAGACATAAGATCATCATCTTCGTCATCATTTCAATCTTTTCTGGGACACAGTATTTATAGAATATGTCTATGCCAACTTTTTTAAAAATATATTCTATTGATTTCTTAAAGAGAGGAAGGGAGAGGGATAGAAAGTTAGAAACATCGATGAGAAAGAAACATCAATCAGCTGCCTCCTGCACACCCCCTACTGGGGATGTGCCCGCAACCAAGGTACATGCCCTTGACTGGAATCGAACCTGGGACCCTTTAGTCCGCAGGCCGACGCTCTATCCACTAAGCCAAACCAGTTAGGGCTATGCCAATTTTTTAAAATATATTTTTATTGATTTCAGAGAGGAAATGAGAGGGAGAGAGAGCGATAGAAATATCAACGATGAGAGAGAATCATTGATTGACTGCCTCCTGCATGCCTCTCACTGGGTATCGAGCCCCAAACCCAGGCATGTGCCCTGACTGGGAATCGAACCATGACCTCCTGGTTCGTAGGTTGATGTTCAACCACTGAGCCACGCTGGTGGGCGGTCTATGCCAATTTTAATAGACTTAAAGAAGACACTGCTGGTCAGAAGGTTCCATTAGCCTGTTGCAAAGTTGTAAATTATATCCTCAGTCTGAATGAAAGCAGACCTTCCTGAAACTGCATTGGTAAGCCTGAAACTCATGATAGCTGTAACAGGGGGAAAGTTTATTCCTATGGGAAAAGGGGCCTAGGCCTTTGGATGATGACACAGAAGATCGCACTGCCCTGGGACAGAACTACCTTCCTTTGCCATAACCACAGACATCATCCTTAGGCAACTGAAGCTTGAAGAAAGGAGTCCTGGAATGGATTATTATCAGAACTAGCCAGATCTGAGAATTTCCAATGGCAAAAAGAGGCTCACTATCTACAACAGACAAAGCACACATACTGAAAAGGTCTTGATGTGTGAATGTCACTAGTTTAGAGTTCCCAGTCACTCAATCAAACATTAATCTACGTGTTGAGTTGAAGGTATTTTCTAGTTGTGTTTAAATTCCATATCAGCTGGCTTTAAGGAGATTATCCTAGATCATCTGGGTGCACCTGACTCAATCAGTAGAAAGGCCTTAAAAGCAGACCTTGGACTTCCCTAAAGAGGAAGAAATTCTGCATGTGGACAACTTCAGCCTATGCCGGAGAGTTCCAGCCTACCCCTCCTGACGGCCTCCTCTACAGATTTTGAATGTGCCTAGCCAGCCCCCACATTCGCATAAGCTAATTCCTTGCAACAAATCTTACTATGTATCCCCTACTCATTCTACTTCTATGATAGAACCTTGACTGCTACACACACTAAGGAAAATGATGAAAATACAATGTGGTGAACACTAAAGAAATGCCAGAGAGCCATCACAATTATCATGTCACTCTCAGCCATTCGTATTTCAAAGAGGCTCAACAAATGAGAATCAGGATGAAACTACAAGGTTTGTTACTGGGCTAGGAGGAGGAGGGTGTGGCATCATGAGATATACACCCCCTAAAATTGTATATAAAGTTTTCTGAAGTTACCAGCGTTTAAGAGCCACTGTTTTAACTAATTGTATTAAATCCCTAGCAAAACACTGAAAAACAAAAGCAAAGATTATATCCACCCTCAACTTAACCTATGCAAACACTGATGGATGAGCTGTGTGAATTTGCACTAAGTTTTATAAGCATTAGTCAAAGAACTCAAAATAAAACCCAGATGGAGGCTTAACCTTCAGCCAAGATCAAGGGCAAGATAAAAATTATGTAAAATGCAGGCATTAATATGTTTTCTAAACCATAAATCCATCCACAATACTCAAGTTCACTTTGGAAGCTACTTCTTAGTTGAACATGGCAGAAAACCAACTTGGTGTATAAATCGGAGACATGTTTTTGCCATGTATTGCATGGGCTTCAGGTGATTTGAGCCAGATAGAATCTAAAGCAGGAGTCCTCAGAAAGTTTTGGTCTGTGGACTGCTTCTGCCAGGAGACTCACAGCCCATCCCTTGCCACTGACACAAACCCTCACCAAGAGAGGAACATGGCGCTGAGACAGCAGTGAGATGAGGTCCAGTTTTATCAGCTACTACAAATAAATTCTGAAACTAAATAAATTTCAGGAAAAAAGCACAGATATTGATGCATCAAAAAATAAAAGCTATAAGAGATCAGTCCTAGAATTACTTGAGGGCAAACCCAGGCTGTACTTTTGAGAACCACTAATTTAAACCTATTCTGTGTTGTTGTTTTTTAATGTTAAGTCTAGATATGTCAGGTTCTTTTTTTTTCTTTTTTGTTAAATGTATTGGGGTGACATTGGTTAATAAAATTATATAGGTTTCAAATGTACAAGCTATAATACATCATCTGTACACTGCATTCTGTGGCCACCATCCAAAGTCAAATCTTTGTTGATCACCAAACACTCAACTTCCTCTACCCTTCGCTACCTCCCTTTTCCTTTGGTAACCACCATACTATTGTCTGCGTCTTGAGTTTGAGAAATGCTAGTCTGGAACTCTGAGGATGCTTTTTGTCTCAGCAAAGCCAGATGCTTTGCTGTTCAATCCAATAGATCAAAATCACGGGAGTCACTATACATCTGTGTACCTATGCTGAAATGATGAGTGTGAATTATTTACTCATATGCTCATTGCAATCAGACAACCAAATCCCTCCCCCAAGAGTCAACCTCCATCATTAACAGAGAAAAAAAATTAAGAAGAGGTAAATCACCTCCATCCATGCCTTAAGAATGAGGAATAACAGTACTTTTTTAAAAAAACAAATCTGGCATAATCTATCATGTAAATCCCTTGATTAGTCTTGGAAGGACACTAGTGTGTGGAAAATATTTCAGGACCAACTTGGAAGCAGAGAGATGTGTACAAAGATCTGTGCAGACGTGTTCCATGTTTAATTGTTTATTGTAGATATTTGTTTCCTGCCCATTGAGGTATCTTAATAAGCAGAACATTGGACTACTATTCTGTGGTATATGATGAGTTCTCTGTCATACAGTTTTATAACAGTTTATAGTCATGAAAAAGGATACTCACTTTGCTGTGACAATACCATTTAAACTCCTAGCCTTCAAACAATGATATAATGGTGTCTGCAGAGCAACTTCAAACTTCGGTAATACTGGGAAAAAAAGAGTAAATATTTTAAAGAATCTATTTTACTATCATTTACAGCTTGACAAAAATCACAAACAGAATTGCTCTAAAGGAGTTTATAATTAGTACTATTTGAAATTAGATTCATTATGATCCAAATGAATACACATTAAGGCTTAGATGAAAAGCACTTTACCCAAAGTCAGAAATCCAATGAAGCTAGTGACTAGACAGTGATAGTGGGGGCCAGTGGGAACTTCTGTTGGTAGAACTTACATTGTATCCAGAACACTAAATGGAAATATATCTGAGTGCTATAAGACCAGCTGTCACCCATTAGTGTGGGCTTACTACTTGATAAAACACTTCCATATTGTTTGGTAAACAGCTGCTTCTAGAGCAGTCCCTTCCCTCAGACCTTTCACCAATTTGACTACTAACGCACATCCTGGGGCCCCAAGCCTCTCCTTCTTCTGGATGATGCCACATAAGCAGTCAGACTCCTTGTCCTTTGAGGCAAAAGCAAATCTAGTGACAGTCTAATGTAATCAAAGACAAAGCTGTATAGTAGAATTTCTAGTTAATAGGTAAGATATGGCTACAAAATATTTTCTTCTTGTCACAGGTACTGATAGGTAATTCCAAAATTAGAAACCTCTACTTTAGTCAGCTTTATATAATTAAGATAAAACATATTTTATCAATATTAATACTATCTGATATAGAGAACTCCCCCAGAATATACAATTTTTGTTTTCTTTCAGTCTACAGAAATATTTCTTTCTCTAACTTCACTGGCCAAAGAAGTAGATCAATCTCATAAAAAGGCATCTCCCCATTCAATTAACACAAGAGTAGTAGCAAGAAGGCCAACGGCTCAACAACATAGGGCAGACCTCCAGCTCCCAACCAGGCTAAAGGCCCTTGGTGTGCCAAGACCCTCCTGGACTCGAGACCCATCTAGGACTGGATAGTCCACAAAGCCATAGGGGTCAACTGTGACCTTCCTCCAAGGCTCTCCACCAACACAGAAGTTAGGGGACACTCAGAGGGAGAGTTTCCTTAGAACAAGGAAATTCAAATGTCCCCTCCTCAAATATCATAGGTTGGCAGTTCATTCCCGACCTCCACTAGCCCCCATTCAGCAACATACCACAACCCAGCACCACCTCTAGGTGAAGTGAAAATAGCCTATAAAAACCCTGGCCACCCAGACTTACTCTTTCAAGGCTGTCAAGAAGAAATAAAATGTGAGCCATACAGTGTAATTTTACATTTCTAGTAGCCACATTTAAAAAGAAAAAAAAACCAGTGAAATTAATTTTTGCAATGTTTTATTGAACCCCACATATCCAAAATATAATCAGTATAAAAATGTGTTATTAATGAATTATTTTTCTTTTTTCTTTGTGTACTGTCCTCAAAATCTTGCTTTACACACTTAGAGAACATCTCCATTTGGACTGGCCACATTTCAACTGTTCAACAGCCACACGTGGTGAGTGACCCCACACTGGACAACAGAATTCCAGGTCAGGGGTCAGTAAATAATGACCAGCAGGAACTAAGAGTGATTTTTGCACTTTTAATTGTTTGAGAAAAATCAAAAGAAGAATATTTCACAACGTAAAAGTTATTAAAATTCATATTTCCATGTCCACAAACAAAATATTGGATCATAGTCACATCCACCTTACATAGTTTTTGTGGCTGCTTCGTGGCAAAGTTGAGTGGTTAGGACAGAGACATATGGCCCATAGAGCCTAAAATATTACTGTCTGGCCCTATATAAAAAATATTTGCTGTTCCCAGTTCTAGTTGATCATGAGACTTAGATGTGGTATGAGCTACGCGGAGGCTGAGCCACAAAAGTATAAGCAAACTATCTCCAGAATTTCTAAAGCTGAATGAAACACAATCTCAAAAAAAGTGACACAAATCATATAAAAAAGCTTGTGTATAACCTCAAAATTGCTATTAAAATTAAAACTAATACTAGATCCTATGCTTTCACTCTCATCTCTCCTTTCTCTTACTCCACCAACAAAATGCTTGGCTCACACTGTTTTTATCTATGTGTGTCTAAGTGCAATATTCACAAAATTTTAAATATGTATATTATGATCAAGACAAAGTAGAAAAACAATAATTGAGCACAAGAAATAGATTAGCATAATGGAACTATAGGTGATCTTTTTCCTCCTTTATTCTTTATAATGACCTTTTATAACTTTCACTTTTACAAAGGAAAAAATTATTAGATCTATAAGAACCATCTGGATTTTACCTCCATTGGGATTTTTACTTTAAATTACACATCTTTTAGAAATTTCTCTTATCTCTGTGGAAAGTAATAAATGTGTTTTCCTTCCAAATAAATTGAAAAACCCTTACCATATTCTGCAACCTCGAATAATTGATAATATGTCTGCTCCTATTGGGAGGAAGAAAAAAAAAGAAATATATGAGTTCTTATTTGATTGTTTTGCTTGCTTACTTACCTCACAAAAAGATTTTGGGAGAATTTAATGCATTTATAATGATTTAATGAAGAAAACAGTTTATTTTCATTTGCAGAAGTTTATTTTTAGTCATCTACACATGAAGTCTGTGGGATTTTATGAGTTTTTCTTGCCAATTCACTAACATAAAAAATTGACCTGACTCTAAGTATAATTTACTGTAGGTCACTTAAACAAACTGCTTCATCTGACTTCTCTCATTTGTGAAATGAGGCAAGGACAATATGCCAAACTAACAGGAAAGGACTTCAAATTGATTTTGGAGATCATTATTTAAAAAAATGGAGAAAATTAAATTACACATAATTCAAATACTTATAAATAATCAAGGATACAAAATCATTATGGACCAACATCCTCTACCTTCCCAATTACTGAAATTATTTTCTAGTGTATCCCTTAAATCAATACATTCTACCTGATTTTAATAGATATTGTTAATTATTTCCTTTTCCACAAAAGAAAAAAATGTGGCCTATCTCTTTCCTAACTCTTCATATTTCTATCTGTCCATTCTAAATCATAGGTAACACATTAAATAGAACTACTTCAAAATAGTTAAGTAATTCCATTAATAAAATCGGTATTCTAATTCTGATTCCCTAAGTTATCAAATAAAATACAGAGATGCAGCTATAAAAAAAATTTAGCTTTTTAAAACATCATCCTTGGTTAATCTAAAGCAACTGTACACATTTCTTTTTAATCCTAAAAGAAGGATATAGTTCATTTCAAAGTATGAAACAAATGTAACTACTTATACACTAACAAAATATTTGTCTATAAACATTCAGTCTATAAACATTTTCAAGACTTCTTCCTTGTTTCCTTAATGGTCTCTCTTTCTGATCCTGAAATGCTGGCCCTTCCCATCCTAAGCTCAATGTTCTTCCCACTCTCCAGATCCTTAATGAGCTCATCAACTCTTACGGTTTTAACTGCCATCTCTATATGACCCCTACATAGTTATGTCTAGCCCAGACCTCAACCCAGAGATTCTCACTCAACTCCACCTTCTAGGCATCCCCACCTGAATGGCCTACAGAATATCCTGGACTTCTTTATCTGGATTTAGCCTCCACCGGGCACCCTTCCTTGATTGCCTCTCCCCATGTTGTTAGATGGACCTTCTCTCTCATAATCTCATTTTACTTAACACAATGTATTATCTTTATCTGCTTTGTGTCCATCTCCTGTAATAGAATACGAAGCCATTAAAGGCACAGCACCTAATTCAGCATGCCTTCAATGTCTGTTGGATTGAATGCATGTGCAAATGAATGAACAAATTGGTTCCTGTCCCCACACTGGTTTTTACAGTGTTCATCAGATTAGTTAGTATACAGTATCCCCTGCAAGAAATTAAAATAACCTTATCACGAGCAGAATCAGACTACCCTGAAGAGGCATAGCCATCTGTCAAATGACCCATAGAATAACCTCAACTCCCTGCCCTGCATTTGGAAGGAATAAGGATGCCAAGGAGTGAAAGAAGCCAGCCATCGTGGAAAACTGAAGAAAAGGCAGAAGGAACGTGCTTCTTTTCAATGTCATTTTTAATTGTTCCAATAAATCAAAAAATCATTTTGTAACTGAGTGCTGACAGTGTGCTTTGTCCCAGGCAAGTTTTTCCCAGGCTGTTTATAAGTGGTGAAATGCAATTCAAAAAAATAAATTATTTGGCTGTCCAAAAGGCTTGAGAGGCAGAACTGGATTTTGTAATTTTCAACATATCGTCTATTAGGCAACCAGGCCATACCAATTTTCACGAGTTCAGTTACTTTTATAAAATATTTTTACAAAACATATAATCAAGAATGGTAGAAAGTTACTAAAACATTTAAATTAATAATAATTCAGAGAATAAGTAGCAATGTATGCCACTTATAACCACAAAAACCCTGATACTGAGAAGTTTCATTAGTCCAGAACAGGGATTTGCAAGCTCTTTCTATAAAGGACCAGACGGTAAATATTTTAGGCTTTGCAAGTGAAGGGGTTCAGAACAGCCCTCGCCAAGGTGTGCCACTTTGGCATGAGAATTATTTTGAGCTAAAGGCAATTGAGACCCCGCGGGCTCATGAGAAACTTTTACCTCTCCCTTAAAGAATTTAAATTTGGGGCCATAATAAGAGTTATTACCAGAAATAGCTTTCTATGACCGATCCATAGGGCAGGGAAAACTTCTAGTTACTGAACATTGGCTCTTCTTAGCATCCAGCAAATGACCTTCCTCACCTCCGTAGCCCCAAAGTACTTTACCTCTTAGCTCAGAGGTCACAGGCACCTCATTTTAATTTTCTGTCTCTGGACTTCTCATGTGTGTGGGGTTCCCATAGGTACATATGTAATTCAATTTTATTATTTTTTCTTGTTAATCTGCCTCATGTCAACTTGATTATTAGACCAACTGGAAGAACTTAGAAGTATAGAAGGAAGTTCTTCCTCCCCCCATAAGCTATATGGTTGCTGTCACAACTACTGTTCTTTGCCATTGGAGTGCAAAAGCAACCAGAGACAATGGGTACACAAATGAGACTGTCCGTATTCCAAAAGTTTATTTACAAAAACAGCTACTAGGCTGAATTTGGCCTATAGGCCAGGGTCAGCAAACCCTGACCTAAAAAGTAAAATTTAGTCCAGACAGCATGGCTCAGTGGTTGAGCATCGACCTATGAACCAAGAGGGCACATGCCTAGGTTGTGGGCTCAATCCCTGGTGGGGGAGAGGGGGAAAGGGGGTCGCAGGAGGCAGTCGATCAATGATTCTCTCTCATCATTCATGTTTCCATCTCTCCCTTTCCCTTCCTCTCTGAAATCAATAAAAATATATATATATTTTTATATAAGTAAAATTTATTTCCAAATTGTTCTATGTCAATTCTAACTGAACTAAATTAAATTTGACTAACCGTGACTAAAAACATGCAGCAAAACCAACCCGAGGCCTTTAGAAGGAAGTGTGAGTTTCACTTACTGAACAATTTTCCTTCAGTTTTAAAGAAACAATCTGCTTCAAAATGAGTTTTATGTTTACTCTAGCTCATCAAATCCAGCTTGTGCTCATTCACTCTGCCAACAGCTGGAGAGAGAGGCTGACCTGAAGGCATAAATACTTGGGCAGCATGTCTTTTAAGCAAACACCTTTCCAGGAGAGAGAATATGTAACTCATCAATGTCTTCTGAGTTCTTTCCCCAATATGGTCACTGTTCCATGGGGAAAGCGCTCCCTTAGAAAACCAGCTCTTGGAACAGACTGAAGGTTGCCAGATGGGAGGGGGTTTGGGGGTAGGGTGAAAGGTGAAGGGCCTGAAAAGTACAGATTGGTAGTTACAAAATCGTCATGGGGATGTAAAGGACAGCATGGGGAATACAGTCAATCATATTGTAATAACTATTCAGGATGCCAGGTGGGTACTAGAATTAACCGGGGGGGATCACTTTGTAAATGTCTACGACTATGCTGCATACCTGAAACGAATATAAAATAATACCGATTGTCAACTATAATTAAAAAATAAAATTCTAAAAAAGCATTAAAAATAAAAAATAAACAATATATTAAAATCTTCAACAAGAAGAGAAAAAAAGAAAACCTGCTCTTCGGCACTTGTATTCACTTTCCATGTGTAGTAGATGTGAGCCTATTTCAATTAGATTTTCTAAACAACTTCTAAAGCAGGAATGGAAAAGAAGAACCAGGAGGTGCTCTCAGTCATCTCTGAAATTTCTTTGTCTCTTTATCCCTAAGTCAATAGTGGATTGTGAGAGTGTAAGTATGGAAACCAATCAGATGAAGGGGGAAAGAGAGAAGACACACTGTTTTTACCATCCTCCCAAGAAATATGCTCTGACTAGAGTACAAATTGGAGATGTGAATTACATCTATTCCAGTTACAGAATTTCCCTTCTCTAACCATGAAGCCATCCAACTTGAGAGGGTTTCTATTTTTAACAAACTTAAAGAAATACGGCACACTTTGTGACCATTAAAATAGATGTTTTTTTTAAATGCAGGGAAGCTTCTTTCAACTCTTGCTTCTGGAGTTATAAAAAAATGCCAGAATAGAACTGAGGTGCAGGATGGATGATTTCTGTTTACATATTTAGAATCATTTCAATTTCCCAAAGTCTGCTTTAGCATTAATCTCCACTGTCTAGATTTATTTTTATTTAAAGATGAACAAAGGGACTGAATTTTTTACATTCACACATAACAGAATGTTAAAATAGAAGTATTTCAGACTCAGTGTTGGCTTTGTCCCCCAAGACAACAGATGGCAAGGATATCTACATTCCAAAGTGAGGTAAGACTAGCATGCAGGACTTGTGAAGGAGGTTTTCAAACACTAGTTTTGCAACTCTCAGCCAAAAGCACCAAGATTAAAATAAATTAGAAAGGAATTTTAGGAGAAAGCTTGTGATGGGGTAGGAGTCACACACACCCCACCCCCAGGGATTAGGTGGACATTGCTCTTTCGCCTTCAATCATAGGACAGCCCAGAGAGCTGGATGCATGTCCCTTGAGCATCCTCAAGTTGCCAGCGGGCAGGCATTGTTCATGCCTGAACAACCTCAAGAGCAAATCCTCCTACTGACCAGCTGCAGGGGCAGCTGAGCTATGGGAGCGCTGAGTGGGGTGGTCTGCGCATGCTGACTTTCAAAGAGCAAAGAAAGTATGAGCATTTCTCCCCAGCTAGACAGGCAAAAAAAAGAGAGAGCCAGCAGGGGGCTGCCTTCTCTCATAATCAAAACCAGTCTCTCTCAGGGTAAGGCAACCTCAGGAGACGGAAGCTGGAGGTGAAGTGTAGATGCCCAGAAGCTGAAGGTGGAGCTATGAGCTGCCAGTTGAAGGTGACAGATTCAAAAACATCAAAGACTTTGAGTGAGAGACCTCCCAGCAATGGAGTGGT